GATGTGGAAGATGGGACAGGACTGTTCAAATTTGTTCAGTTATTTCAGAAGTACAATGAGAAGCAGTCAGTTTAAATTAGAAGGAACCAGATTTTGATTTTGGTTGGACCTAGAACTGAACAACCCTAGAATTGTTCAGTTGTGGAACAGACTGTCTCAGGAAGTGGAGCATTTGCCCCTGTATGTGTTTATACATAGGTTGGATGGTCATCTTCACAGAATGCTGAAGTAGCAGACTGCTGCACTGAATAGAAACATTTTGTGATTCGACAAATAGAAATTATATATTTTTGGATTTCTGCTACTTTGCAGAATGTGAAGTCCATACTTGTATCTGTTTTGATTTGCAAGAGTTCAACCTGGAAACAGCCCCCCTCCAGAAATGGTTTTTTAAGGACATCCTAGAATGTGAAGTGAAATGGGCCTTAGGAAATCTGAGCAACAGCAAAGCTAGTGGAAGTGACAGTATTCCAGCTGAGCTATTCAAAATCTTAAAAGATGATGCAGTAAAAGTGCTACACTCAATTTGCCAGCAAATTTGGAAAACTCAACAGTGGCCACAGGATTGGAAAAGGTCAGTTTACATTCCAATTCCAGGGAAAGGCAATGCCAAAGAATGTTCAAACTATCACACCATTGCACTCATTTCACATGCAAGTAAAGTTATGCTTAAAATCCTACAAGCTAGATTCCAGCAGTATGTAGATTGAGAACTTCCAGAAGTACAGGCAGGATTTCGAAGAGGCAGAGGAACTAGAGATCAAATTGCCAACATACGCTGGATCATGGAGAAAGCTAGGGAGTTGCAGAAAAACATCTACTTCTGCTTCATTGACTATGCTAAAGCCTTTGATTGTGTGGATCACAACAAATTGTGGCAAGTTCTTAAAGAGATGGGAGTACCAGACCATCTTATTTGTCTCTTGAGAAACCTATATGTGGGTCAAGATGCAACAATGAGAACTGGACACGGAACCACTGATTGGTTCAAAATTGGGAAAGGAGTCTGGCAAGGCTGTATTCTGTTGCCCTGCCTATTTAACTTATATGTAGAGCACATCATGAGAAAGGCAGGGCTAGATGAACCAACAGTTGGAATTAAGATTGCCGGGAGAAATATCAACAATCTAAGATATGCAGATGATACCACTCTAATGGCAAAAGTGAAGAGGAATTAAAGAGCTTCTTGATGTGGGTGAAGAAGGAGATGCAAAAGTTGGCTTGAAACTCAACATTAAGAAAACCAAGATCATGGCATCTGGCCCTCTCAATTCCTGGCAAATAGATGGGGAAGAAATGGAGGTAGTGACAGATTTTATCTTCCTGGGCTCCAAGATCACCACAAATGGGGACTGCAGCCAAGAAATTAAAAGATGCTTGCTCCTGGGGAGGAAAGCTATGGCAAATCTAGACAGCATACTAAAAAGCAGAGACATCACCCTGCCAACAAAAGTACGTATAGTCAAGGCCATGGTTTTCCCAGTTGCAATGTATGGCTGTGAAAGCTGGACCATAAGAAAGGCTGAGTGCCAAAGAATTGAGGTCTTTGAACTATGGTGCTGGAGAAGACTCCTGCGAGTCCCCTGGACTACAAGGCAATCAAACTGATCAGTCCTAGAAGAGATCAACCCTGACTGCTCTTTAGGAGGCCAGATCCTGAAGCTGAAACTCAAATACTTTGGCCACCTAATGAGAAGGAAGGACTCACTGGAGAAGAGCCTAATGCTGGGAAAGATTGAGGGCAATAGAAGAAGGCGATGACAGAGAATGAGATGGCTGGATGGAGTCACTGAAGCAGTAGGCGTGAGCTTAAATGGATTCCAGAGGATGGTAGAGGACAGGAAGACCTGGAGGAACGTTGTCCATGGGGTCGCGATGGGTTGGACACGACTTCGCAACTAACAACAACAAGGACTAGATTAATGGGAAATCTCCATACAGTGAATTCAGTGGCCTAGATAAATTTATTTTATTTATTTATTTATTTTATTTATTTATTTATATTTAAACTTCTATGCCGCCCTTCTCCCCAGAGGGACTCAGGGCGGCTCACAGCATGTTAAAAAACAACACAAAAAAAAAACATTTCCCCTATAAAACCAATTAAAAAGCAAATATATTAATAGCTGTGTCATATTTAAAATCTTTAAAAATTTTTAAAAATTATTCCCTATTTAAAATTCANGATGTGGAAGATGGGACAGGACTGTTCAAATTTGTTCAGTTATTTCAGAAGTACAATGAGAAGCAGTCAGTTTAAATTAGAAGGAACCAGATTTTGATTTTGGTTGGACCTAGAACTGAACAACCCTAGAATTGTTCAGTTGTGGAACAGACTGTCTCAGGAAGTGGAGCATTTGCCCCTGTATGTGTTTATACATAGGCTGGATGGTCATCTTCACAGAATGCTGAAGTAGCAGACTGCTGCACTGAATAGAAACATTTTGTGATTCGACAAATAGAAATTATATATTTTTGGATTTCTGCTACTTTGCAGAATGTGAAGTCCATACTTGTATCTGTTTTGATTTGCAAGAGTTCAGCCCCCCTCCAGAAATGGTTTTTTAAGGACATCCTAGAATGTGAAGTGAAATGGGCCTTAGGAAATCTGAGCAACAGCAAAGCTAGT